ATATAGACACACATATTTATATAGATACATATAAAATCACTAATGCTTTTTCAATTTACCCAAATGCTTACTAATTTTATTGTTTGTTGCTTCACATCTGTTTGTATCCCACTCCTTTCTGGGTTCTGTTTCCTTTTCAGAGCCTTAGTAGTTCTTTCGGTGAGTGTCTATGAGTGATACACTCTCTCAGCCTCTCAGTCCTTCTTTGAAATTAACTTGTTACTGTCGAATAATAGTTTACCCAAATATAATTCTTGGTTGGCCATTAATTTATCTTCAGTCTTTTGAAGATATATTGCTGTTAAGTCAGCTGTCGGTTTAATTATTTTCATTTGTAGATAATTAGTATTTTCTCTTTGATTGACTTCATGATACTCTGTCTGATGATCTACAGATTCACAATGATGGGTCTTGATTTGAATTTGTTTTAATTTAGCCTACGCAAGACTCAGGATACTTCCTGCAATGGAGGATTCAGGTCACATCTTTCTTCAATTTGCAAAATTTCTCAGCCATCATCTTTTGAATATTGCCTCTTTCAAAAATCTCTTTTCTTTGCAGAAACTCTAGTAGGTATATATTGGACCTTCCCATTTTATGCTCCATGTCTCTTACCTTCCATTTTATATTTTTCTTATTTTTTATTTCTATGACTCTTTCTGGGTGATTTTCTCAGACTGACCTTCTAGTTTACTAATTCTCCAACTATAGCTAAATGAGTTTTTACTTCAATGACTATATTTTTCACCTCTAGATTTTCTATTTAATTACTTTTTCTTTTTGACAAGTAATGCAAATAGTTTTTCAAAACAAACAGAAATGATTACATAGGTCACTACTTAACTTGCCTGGCTATTTTAATGCTGTGTTAAGCATAAATACCTTTCTTTTTGAAGTATATTTGAAATGTACATTTGTTTTTTTTTTAATGGACTTCCATGAAGGCCTGGTGATAGAAGTATAAACAATGTAGAATAGATCCACAATAAACAGTTATTACATTCTACCAATGTCGCTGGTGTGTTCTGAGATGGAATCCAAGAACTGCTGCCACACCCAGTAAAGACTGGTGCATCACTGTTTACACTCGAGTTATTGGCAGGTAAGAATGAAGGGTTGTTTTTTTTAATGGACTTGCATGAAGGCCTGGTGATAGAAGTATAAACAATGTAGAATAGATCCACAATAAACAGTTATTACATTCTACCAATGTCGCTGGTGTGTTCTGAGATGGAATCCAAGAACTGCTGCCACACCCAGTAAAGACTGGTGCATCACTGTTTACACTCGAGTTATTGGCAGGTAAGAATGAAGGAGAACAATTTGCAACAAGTTTTACTTATTATTTAGAATGAGGAGTCACTAATGTTCCTTTAAAGAATATTCACAAGAGAAGACTGTCTAGGAGGTCTTCTCGTTTGGTGCATACTGAGTTTTTATTTGAGATCCATATACTTGTTTAATTCATGTGTTTATAGCAAAACTGCTGCTACCTTTTCATTAGAGTATGGTATCTTTTAATTTTTACAAATACACATTTTAAAATTCTTTTTACTCTACATCCAGATTATATCATCAATTCTTGGATTAAAAAAAACTTGAATGGGTAACTCTCTTCTAAAAAATGCAGCTGTCTGTGAAAACCGTGATACTGAGCAACAGAGAAAAGTGAAGAAAAGGGAAGCACAAACGAGTACATGTGGAAATAATCTGGTTCAAAGCACTTCATAGGTGTTAGTTAGCTCTTCATATTGCACCACATCTAGAGGTACAAAATATCAGGTTGTCTCTCTATTTGGTGATGCTAAGTTTGATCACTTGGTTAAAATGATCCACCAGATTTCTCCATTGTTTTTACTTTTGAATGGTTTAGTAATTGATAAGTAATCTGTGGAGTGATACTTTGAAGGCATTTGCCCATCTTTTTCCAATATTTTTCACCTAATGTTTTTAGCATTCATTGATGATCTTTGCCTGAATCAATTATTACCTTAGGGTTGCAAAATAGTGATTAAAAATTATATCATTCCTTTTACAGATATAGGCTGATTTCTTTCGTAAGTATGAGCTTTTAGGGAATTTGTTTTTGAATCCAAAGACTTGAATCAAAAATCTTTAACCTGAATCTAATGATGAAGAAACTGTCAAATTTAGAACATTTGACAAACTTCTCCCTGGACTCTTCAAAAGAAGTCCATTTCAAGGGTTGGGGAGTACTGTTTTAACTGAAAAGAGATGACAGAGGTATAACAACCAAATGAAAAATGTTGGATCCCAAATTTAAAAAGAAAATAACAAGAAGAAAACATCTATAAAAGGCATTTTGGGAAAACAGGGCAATTTGAATATGTAGTACATATTAGATGATATTAAAGAATTATATGAATTTTCATAGGTGTGATAAATGGTATTATGTTTATGTAAAAATGTCCTTATTCTTAGGAGGTGTATGTTGAAGTATTTAGGATGAAATGTCATGCTGTCTACAATTATTTCAAATGATTCCACACACAAAGCACATAACACATACATGTATACAAATACCTCCAACCAACCCAAACATTAAAAAACAAAACCTATAAGATATCAACTAGTAAAGCATGAGTGTCTTGCATCTTCCTATTGTATTAATCTAGGTTCAGTCAGAAAAACGGAAGCCACTCTAGGTATTGCAAATGTGAAAGGCTTTAATGTAGAAAATTAAAGGTTTATAAAACTGTTGGGAGGACTAGAAGACTGACATCTCAGCTTGCACTTGAAGGCCTGATTTTCCAAAGCTCACTTGTAAGTGGCTAAAAATGGGAAGCTCACCTAATTACAATAGTCACATGGCCCCAACCTAATTGTAAAGAAGACTGTGATTAATATGGAATCGGTCTGTCTCTAGAGCAGAAAAGGGTGAAGGCAGTAGAGGGCATTCGAAGTGATATTGGAGTCGTGCAGCAGATCCTACAATTATCCGCCCCCCCCCATTTGTTACTTCTTCCTGAGTAACACAGCTCTTTTCAAGCTGGGAATAAAACTATCCCAAATAAAGACTACATTTTCCAGCATCCTTTCAAACTAAGTGTATCCATGTGACTATGTCCTGGTCAATGGGATGTCAGTAAAAGTGGTAAGAAAATTTTCTGGAATGTGTCTTCAAAGGGAGTGAACATGCCCTTCTTTTCCTTCTTCCTGCTGGCTTGGAGGTAGACTTGACGGCTAGAGTTGGAACGGCTGAAACTTGAACATGAGTGTCTTATCGAAGCCGACAGTGCAATAAGACAGAAGGAATCCTGGTTGGCTTATGTTTACATGAGCGAGAGAGAGAAGGGGGGTGAGGTGGGGGGGGCGGAGTTCCATTTTGTTTAAGCTATTTTTCCTTTTTTTCTTTTTTCGGTCACTTGCAGCTGAGCCTAATCCTAACTAATATAAACTAAGTCTGAAAAAAAATGAATATAAGTTCCTCAAGGAATAGGATACTTTAAACAGTGAGAACTGCATGCACAAAGGCTCAGAGTTCTGAAAGAGGTGGTATGCTCAGGGAATACCAAGGGTTTGTGTGGCAGGTGGAGACTGGAAGTGGATGGAGATGAGCTACAGCAGAGGATGGACTGAATAGGCAGGGCTGCAGCAGAGAAAGTGGCTGGAAGCCATGGATGTGATCAAGGTGAGAAACAAATGGGGCTGTGATGTGACCTGTGGTGGAAATAGGGAGAGGGGATCAATTCAAGATACGTTTAAGGACAAAAATCAAGACATATATAAATGTGTGTGTTCAAGTATACGGAGTGGGCATGTCATCAGAGAAAAGTCTGGGCTTTTTGGCTTTCCCTCTTTAGAGGCCCTCTGTAGGTGGAGCTCAGCCTTTCCCCATGAGGAGACTCCTCCTCTTGCCCCAATTCTTTGGGTCCAGACTTCCTGGTCTATATTCTGCCTCACACCTTCTCATCTTCACCCGCTCTGACTTCCTGCTTGTTCCAGGATTATTTCATGAAGGGGAGGTGGGACGGTCTTTAACCCTATAAATGCTGGCTCTCCAATGTTGCCTGAGTAGCCTGTGGTAGAGCTCTCAAGGGATGATCAGGTTCTGGCTGGCAACTGGACATTGTCCTTGTCTGATTGGGGCATGGTGCCTCTGTGCAGCTGAGTAAGAGTGGGGCTCTCAGCAAACAAACAGACTTGATTCTGTTGGTGGGCAAGCTAGCAGGTCATGGGAAGGCTGAAGGTCATGGGGCTTGGGGGGAACAGGGGGAGAAGTTCAGCCTAGCTCCTTGTAAAACTTTCTAGGAAGCCCTTTTCTACTGGAGCAGTCCTCTGTTAAGAGGGCACTCATTAACGCTATGGGTGCCAGGAAAGGGCAGGAGGTGAGCATTGGGAGGCAGCTGAGGTCATCCTTCTTTGAACCTTCACGTGGTATTTACTCAGGGCAATTGTTGCCAGTGGCCCAGGCCTCTGGAGTATAAAGTGGAATGTTTGTTCTCTGTGCCCAGAACTGAGCAGGTGAGCAGCTGGGGCAGAGGGATGTGGGTCAGATTCCTAAAGGAGGGAATTGCAGGGGTCTCAGGAAAGAGCTGGGGTGGGAACTAAAGACATTGTCTTAGAGCACTTCAGCAGAATTGCTTCTTCCCCCTTGGGGTACCTCAGTTTTCCCAGCCATGAAATGGGAGGCAGACATGGCCTAGGGAGCATTCTCCTGCAGTCTGGGGAGAGTGATAGTGGGGGAAAATTTACAAAGCAGTTTGAGCTCCACACTCCATATTATGTAATCGACGTGAAAAAGGAGGCCCCTGGCCTTCCAGGAAGACACCCTTTTCCTCCCAGCCACACTCAGCTAGGTCAGTCCTCTTGAGCCCCAACAGCTCTGTGCTCCCTGCAACTCAGGGAAGGTTTCACAGATTTTGGGCAGGTTGTCCCTGGAGCAGGGCCCCCTGGGGCAAATCCCTTGGGAAATGTCCCTTCCTTTGCTTTTTTCACCTTACCCAGGCCTCCATTTGCCTTCTTTCTCAGAGTAGGTAATGGCAAGCATGGCTGCAGTTCTGACCTGGGCTCTGGCTCTCCTTTCAGGTGGGTCTTCAATTTGGAAGTGAGGGTGCAGGCTGGATTGCGAGGCCCATCCACCTTCGGGGAGGAACGCAGCCCCTAATCACCCATCCCTCTCCACAGCATTTTCAATCTCCCAGGCACAGAAAGGCTTCTGGGACGACTTCAGCCAGAGCAATGGGGACAAAGTCAGGGTGGAGCAGACCCAGCAGCAGAAGCTGGCACAGGAGCCCACGTGAGTGGCCAGGGCAAGGGGTGCAGGGGAAGGGAAGAGACAGCCCGGCAGTGGGATGATGTGCTGCCTCGGATTCCTCTGTCCCTCTCACTGGGACAGAGGGACAGAACAGTGCTAGTTCTGCCCTTTGTCCTGGTCTTCCTGGACTGTTCCGCGCCCTCTGCCGGCAGCAGCCCCCGCCTTGGCCTCGCCATAGCTGCCTTCCCCTTACCCACTGAGGAGTAAGACCTGAGATGACCCCACCGCGGCTCCCAGAATGAAAGGATCGTGTGAGAGTCCACGTGCATCTGTGATTCCGTGGGCAGTGTCGATCTGGATTTGCATACGCTATGTGTTTGTACTTCCCGTATGAGGAAGTGCAGTTGGCCTGAGGCTAGGACTAGAGTCCCTACATCCTTGGTTTCCCCAGAGAATCAGTGAGCGATGTCTCGAGGTCAAAGCAGATGATGGGCGCTAGCATTCTGACGAACTGGAGATCTGTTCACCTCCCCAGGAACCCGAAAGACAGCTTTGAACAAGACTTCAAAAATATGGACAGGTTCTTGGAAAAGCTGGGCTCTCTGAGTGAGCAGGGAAGAGAGCCTCCCAGACTCCTACAAGACCAGGTGGGCATGCGGCAGCAGCTGCAAGAGGAGCTGGAGGAGGTGAGGGCGCGCCTGGAGCCCTACAGGGCGGAAGTGCACGAGCGCGTGGGTTGGAACCTGGAGGGGCTGCGGCGGCAGCTGATGCCTTACACCACGGACCTGATGGAACAGGTGGCCCTGCGCGTACAGGAGCTGCAGGAGCAGTTGCGCTTAGTTGGAGAGGACACCAAGGCCCAGGTGCTGGGAGGCGTGGACGAGGCGCGGGGCTTGCTGCAGCAACTACAGAAACGCGTAGCGCACCACGCCGGCCGTATGAAGGCGTTGTTCCACCCTTACGCCGCGCGCCTGATGACCGGCATCCGGCACCACGTGCAGGAGCTGCACCGCAGCGTGGCGCCGCACGCTGCAGCCAGCCCCGCGCGCCTCAGCCGCTGCGTGCAAGTGCTCTCACGCAAGCTCACGCTCAAGGCCAAGGCCCTGCATGCGAGCATCCAGCAGAACCTAGACCAGCTGCACGAAGGGCTCAGCGCCTTTGCCCGCGCGGGCACGGACGGCGCGGAGGAAAGGGCCGACCCGGACCCCTACGTCCTGTCCCAGGAGGTGCGCCAGCGACTCCAGGCTTTCCGCCACGACACCTTCCTGCAGATTGCGTCTTTCACCCGCGCCATCGACCAGGAGACCGAGGAGGTCCAGTTGCAGCTGGCACCGCCCCCTCCAGGCCACAGCGCCTTTGCCCCAGAGTTCCTCCAAGAGGAGAGCAGTAAGGTCCGGAGCAAACTGCAGGCCCGTCTTGATGACCTATGGGAAGACATAAACTTTCATGACCATGACCATGACCATGACCTTGGCCATCTGGAGGAGCCCTGAGGGTCTATATGCCCAGGGCCACTTCCCAGCGATTTGTCTGGGGAGGCCAGGACCCGATTCCCTAACATGGCTCAGTCCTTGACAATGGCCTATTGGGCAGGAGGTGGAGGTTCTTGCACAGGATAGCTGAGGCCACCGAAGAGGCTGTTGTCCACTGCATATCCAGCCTCCTGCGATTCCCCAATCTGGATTCATTACACTTACCAGGCTTTGCAAACCCCCGCTTCCCGTGCTCATTTGGGAATCCTCATGGGTTGCTCCATTTCAGGATGATGGGAGTGGGAAGGGAGAGAGGCATTTTATGAGCAGGTAGTTGAGTGCAAGCCTGTTGTCATGGTGCTGGAAGCCTGTGCTTCTTCATGCCAGGGCCTGACTCTGATCACTTTTGGCCCTCTGATGGCTACTGCTATAGCAAGTCCACAGAGAGGAGCTCTTTCCTCCCCAGGGATGCCATGACGGCTTCTGTTGGGGAAAGAGAAAGGAGAAAGGAAGAAAATATGAGGAGAGCATGTGATGGTGTGTGTGTGTGTGTGTGTGTGTGTGTGTGTGTGTGTGTGTCCCTGCTGGCTCTGATGCTGGTGGGTACAAATGGTGGGAATTGTGATGGGAAAGAGCAGAGCTCATATTTCCTTACATAGCTCTACATTTAAACAGCTGACCAAACCCTCCAAACTGTGGGGCTTCTTAAACCCTCTGGGGAACATACTGTGTACCCTTACATCTCTGGCCCCTCCCTCCTGACTCCAAGGCTGAAGTCTAGACTTCTGACTCAAATTAAATAGATGCTTACAATGGAAGCATATTTTTCTGGTGTGACTGTTATTTAAACCATGTCTGAAAGCAGTGCCTCACCACTATCCCCAAAACACATCCATCAGCCACTTCAATCCCTCACTGTTCTTTCTCATTGATCCCCTCCCAATCCAGGTGTGTCAAAGGGGTCTGGCGCTGGCAGTGCTCTGCTTTAGATGAGAGCTGTCTGTCAAGCCTGGGAGTGGGCCTGGGTTAGATACCCTTATCTGCACCTGCATTGTTCACCTGCCTGCTCATCATGGGACGGTATGCATGAAGTTCAGGCTCCTGAGATGGCCTCTCCCCTTTGTTCCTGCTGTTCCAGAGTTTGAATGTTCCTTTTTGTGACACTGACCCTCTTCTTGGGACCCTCAAACTCTTAACCCCTATTCCCCACATACAGATTCACTTGGGGGCAATGAAGCTACTCTTAGATCCCCTGGGAACTCTGAAATTGGGAGTGAGTGAAGTGAGGGGAAGAGGAAAAGGTAAACACACCCTGCACAGAACCATTAGAATGTCCTGTCCTGCACCCTTTCTTCCCAGCTCAGCTAGCCCTGCACAGGGTTCTCAGCACCTCCACACTCCCTGATAACACAGACCTCCACATGAATCTGGCTTTATCATGCCCCTCAGGCTGGACCTTTTCCCTAATACTTCAGACTTAGCAACAAAACTGGGAGAGAAGTGACCATGGAGAAGAGGTGCTGAAAGGTTTATTCCCCCAAAGAGGTGTTTTTGTTGTTGTTGTTAGGAAATTAAGAGGGGGTGAGTCAGTTGGGGTCGAATGTGGTAGAGATGAAGTAAAACCGAGGGTTGTGCATTTGAGGCTGGAATTTGGGAAGGTATTTTATGAAGACAGAAATAGGGAGTGAGAAGAACCCGAGTGATTGAGAGACTGAGGGACTAGAGCCGAAGCAGCATCTGGTCCAGCAGTGGATTGAAGGAAGCCCAGGTCAGGGCGCACTCCTCAGTGATGCTGAGGGACAAGCCTGGCGCCTTGCTGTCAAGGCTTTTGTACTCAGACTTATGGCCAATAGCTAGAACCCTGTGCGATGGTGCTATTGCAAAGGAGCAAAGCAATGCCCTGGGTCTGGGAGGACGTCCTGGGAGAAGTGACGCCTGAACTGAGGTGGAGGCAAAGCCTCAATCCGGCTGGCTATGGAAGTCTAGGGTGTATAATCCTAGCAACAGGTAAACTCTTCATGGTTAGGGACCCAAAGTCTGCGGCCTCTTTAAGAAAGGGCAGTGAGGCGGCTACCGGAAGTGCCCGAGGAAGAGGTGGTGCCACGAGAGTAGTGGAAGCCGGAAGTTGCGGCCTGAACTGCGCGTGGCTGAGATGTCGGCCAGCGGGGCTGTGGAGCCCGGGCCCTCGGGGGTTGCTGCTGCCCCC